CACGCACGCCCCGCCCCGCCCCGCACACACACCGCCCCTACACGCCCGGCCACACCTAGCCCCTCTCCCGCCAACCTCTTCTGCTCCTCGTCCCACCCCTTTCCGCCCCGCCCCGCCGCGCCCCGGTTCCCCGCGGCCGGATACCGCCGCGCGTCAGATCCCGGCGGGCCGTAAACACGCTCGGCGACCGTTAGGCGGCGGCGAAGGCGGTGGGCGAGCGTGGACGCGCTCACGCCCGCCACGACCTTGGCACGGAAGCGAGCGGCCGTGACCCCTAGAGGGCTCTTGCGTTGGGCGCTCTCTGGGCAATCGGCGACGAAAGAAAAAGCGCCTCCGGCATTCACAGGTGGCACTCGTAGGGCAATTGTAAAGGAGCTTTCAACGCACGATGTGGGGCGGACATGTCTGCTTAAAGTGCGTCACTTCATAACACAATACATCTTCATATACATATGAATACGCGAGTGTAGGTTCATTGTTCGTATGAATGAATTGTATTAAATATACTTGTGGGTACTGAGGAACAAATGCGAGTTCGCACAGAGAAAGGACAATGTGTGAGCCTATTTCTGTTGAAGTAAAAGGTATATTAAAGCCCTTTTAAGCTTAACTGATGATCGGACTTAAATGATTTCTGGAATTAAAACGCAAGTTTGCATATTGATCAAATCCGTGCCCTTTCTCAAAGTCGATAACATACACACCAGTGAGAGCGTAGGTCATCGACTATTGATTCCTGACGCGTCAGCTTCTGAGGTCATTCGTCCTGTAAGAGTAGTACATTTTATATCCCGGGAGGCATTGGTGATTCTCCACCGCTGTAACATGAGATCCGGCGCCGACCTACACATCGGCTTGTTGAGTTCCGCTTCCAGGTATCTCCCCCACTGGCATGTCGCTCCAAAATGGAATAACTCTAAGCTCCCGACATGTGTGATTGTGCAGTGCACGTAAGTGTAAGGGGAGAGTGGAGGAAAAGGAGGAGGAAGGAAGGATAGCACCTTTTGCTGAGGCACTGCTTTTCATTCGCCTGGTCTCGGAATGAATCGAAGAAACCCCGGAAATATAGCAATCAGAGCAATGGCTGCTAGAGTTCTTCTCCAGACTGGTTGAATTCGACCCAGTTACATGTTTAGTGTATCTAGCGAGTATGAAGCTAGGATCAAAAATCAGCCACGGTTGGGAATCGAACCCTTAGACTTCGCGAACAATGATGTTTCTCCTGATCTCTCCCATTTTAAATCTCGAAATGGAGGCATATTGTTCATCGCGGCGTCGAAAGAATATCAAGAAAAAATATGTCATAATGATATACTACCATTGCGATTGGATCTTTGAAACGTTCCGCAACTTTCAGGTACATAACAACTACTGCAGTTACTGTAAGAGTTGGTGCCAAAAACGCATGGAATTTTCTGCAAATATAATGTTAAAAGAAATGGCAGAGTTAAGTACTATTTCAGTAGGAAGTAAACTCTGAAGAATATACCCATAAACGCGAGAGTAATGCGGAAATTTTAAACATTCCTCTCATCTCAACCTCGCAGATGTGTAGCCCAGGCCACAGTCCAGTTTAAAAGTCGAGCAAGAAACAGCTCTTTCTTCAGATATGGAGAACATGCAAGAGATTATGCTACCTGAAGAGTAACTTCAAGGAAATTGACAGGGATAAACAATCAACTGAACTCTCAGACTGATCTCACAGGAGTTGTCATTGGCCTTAATGCTAAGACCTCTCTTCGTATTTTTTCCTACATTTCAAGAACAGTATCATAAATTAAAACAATCTAAGAAATTTGAGAGTTCTACAGTATAAGCGATGAAACTAAATCGTACTCACATCAAATGTCTCAAGATGCTACAACTGGATTTTACAATTTGAAATCTGTCAATTGAGATACTTTTTACTTTTCCAATAATAAATTAATTTAATGGGAGAAAATAAAGATATTCATTTAATTATTTATTTAGGGCCAATGGTTCTATAGCATACATCAACGATTTGAATTTAGCAACTTACTGAAATATCAAATCTAAGCGCTTTCAGTTTCAAAATAAAAGAGAACATGTATTCGTAATAATGACAAAAACCTTTACATAATATTGTAATATTGTTGTCGAACAAATTTCCAGAACAATACCTAGAATTATTTCCTTCACTTTTCAAATACCCACAAGTCGTTACTTTATGTTCAATTCTATCTGTACATTTAACTATCAACTCTCTCAAATATTTTATTCCATTTACTTTTCCGTAATGTTGTACTCATTTAAATATACCACCAATATCACATTCTTACTTTCAAATTCTCCAATGAGTTACGTCAATCCAATTTAAATGCTCTATCAATCATTCTCATCCTCATTATAGTTCGTCCATTTTATATCTGGTGGTTGATTTCATTCTTCTTACGTCTTCCAAGACATCGAAAAGATTGTCATTCGTATTCTAGTAGGCCATGCATGTAGTGCGTATATATCATAATGTTAAATATGTTACATAATTAAAATACTTAATTTCGGCTCGTTACACAACACTACATGGTTTGTGTTTATGTTACGCGCTACTGATCAAGAATAGTACGGAGATGTGGTAAATTAAAACTAGACGTAGTACGTAAACTCGAACTTCAGCACCTTTATCCTTGATCCATTGATCCATTGATCCATTGTTGCGAGCCGCTCTTAACCATGCTCAGTCGTCGCTACGCACTGACAACGACTCATTTCAATTTATAAGAACTTCATATTTTTGGCATTCAGGAATAAGTATGTTACAATCCGATCATTCCAGCTCCATTCTTAATCGTAAAGGGAAAGTTAAACTTACTCTTTTCTTAGTTCAATATTCGTATTCTTAATAAGAAACAGTTGGCAGCATCAGCCTCTTTCATTGGGGTTAGAACCAGTAATATGTACAAGGATTAATTGGAAGGAGACGTTTAGCCGAAACATAAGACGCTCGTTAACATTGTTGAAACGTTCTTACACACTTACTTCGAGGGCAGCGTTCATGTACTGCAATTAAAGTAAGACATTGTTGAATACGGCAAGTAATGACATTCTGTCCCTCGCAGGATAGTTCCAGTGAAAGTTACGAAGAAATTGAGGCAGAACGGCATTGATACTACTTTGGGTTTGGCAAGCTCTACATAACACTTTATTATAATAAAAATTATCATACCTTGTTTTAATAAAAAAATGTAAAAAAGAACTCAAACTTCAAGCGCAGAGTGAATATTGTTAACTGGTCGCTACAAAAAGGATCAATTTCTTGTGATTTTATATTTAAAATATGGCCAGATTGCAGTTCCCAAGAAATTGCAGTTTGGCCATGTATTGTAGCTGAACCCGTACAAATAATTAGCAATTTGCAAATCCTTGCTTTAAAAGTGAAAATAACTTCATGCTTGATCCCAGCGTCGGACGGACAGTTCTTACATGGTGACAAAAACCTGATTTTATATCTGATTAAAAACCTTGGTCGTAGGTATCGAGTTATTCACGATGGTAAAGTGCAAGATGTGTTCCGGGCTACATGTGATCCCGATTTCTCCTAAGTACCATAATCTAGGACCGTCTTTATTTTCAGTAAATGTCTTAGATGAGGGCCAAGAGAAAATTCCCTAACCGGCAGTAATCTGCGTAAGAGGGTCCCTTATAAATCGCCAAAAAACGTCTTATTTCTTAGCATATTCTACACAAACGGATTCTGTATTTTACTTCGAATTGCACCCTGTTAAATCTGCAGTTTAAAATAAAGTCGTTTCAAACGAATTTTAGGAAATTCCTTTGTCTGTTAATGTTTGCCTTGGGAATCTATGACGTCTGTGTAATTCCTCCTGATATCTCGAACCATGATATGTCTAAATAATAAGTATCCAGTTTGTGTGTTTTTTCCTTTCTCCTTCATTTCCATGTAATCGAAGTTTCACTGTCGTGGATAGTGAATTCAAGATAGTGAATGGATCCTCATATGCATCAGGCCCTATCACAATAACCTCCCACCGATGCATCGCCCCGCGCTGCCCTGCTAAGGAATATCGGGACGTCAAGACACGGCCTTCCCCTCCGTATAGGGTCCAAGATAAATGCGGAAAAGTACAATCTGCTCAGTTTTCGTCAGCAGCAGAATCCCCACCCTCTCTGCTTGTACTCTAGCAATGTTTAAGTTAAGAAAAGTCTAAACTCCCGACCTCTCCCTGCGTCTCCGAGCCTCCTGAAGAGATGTGACCAGGGCCGGAGTAGATTAGATTAGATTTATTCAGTCAAAAATCAGTAAAACGAGTGATCAGTGACGTAGGGGGGAGAAGATTCTCTGCGCGCGTTTTCTAGAGTTCCAGAATCCCTTCCCGTCATTTTAACTATAAATAGTTGAAAGATGAGTAAAGGTTTAACATAAATAAATAAAAATAAATTTTAAAAATCGCAAGGTCATCAATATTTGAATAATAGTCATTTTCGTTTCCGAGTTATAGAAAACTTATTTGCATCGGTACACGAATTGCAAGTATGATCTTTCTGCATTGCTAACAAAATAGCAACTCGCCCTTAACTCTTCCCTTTAACATTACAAGTAAACGAAGAGTTCGACAAAACGTGCGCATAGTGAAGCTACATTTACGACCAGAAGCAGCTAGTAGACACGTTAAGTACGAGCACGGTGTCTAGGACCTACGAAAATGAGACGCTGAGGTTAGAACCTTCTATCACAATTTTTTGCAAGTTTATTTCTGGACTAAGAATAAAAGAGTCACTTACATTCAATATTTATAATGTTTTACAAAAAATTAAATTGTTTTTAAATTTCAATTTAAAAGTAGGCTTGTAGAAGAGCGCGAAAAAATAAAAAAGGAGAAATTTTCCAGTCACAGAAGCGGACGTAAATATCGAATGAATTATCTGTATTCCTCTAAATTACAGGGTTTTTTTAACTCCGAAAAATTCTTATTTATACAGATTCATAAGGTCCTATATGTTTCCTGAGGCCTACAAAAAAAATGTGCCTAGAGCTAACGTCAAGGTTTGTGACGTCGGTGTATGACCCCAGTTCCGCTGGTGTCGGGGCACAGGTGTCAGCAGCCAGCGCCGGGCAAGGGGTCCTGCCTTGGGTGCGGCACATCCGGGCCCGAAACTCCGGAATTTCGACTCTCCGAAGGCACCGTTAGGAGGAATTCCTCTTCATTTGTTATGTACTTACGAAACTGTGAGACTTCACCGACGCGGAAAGCTTGTAACTTAAAAGAAGCTGCCTTGATAACAGCCAATATAAAGTCGTTCTTAAAGCGTAAGTGTCCTCATAAAAATGTTGTTAAGTTATGAAGTGCCACCGGCCACAGGGAATAATTATGTTGTCGTTGAAACCTACAATTAGATACCATGGGAAAATGATTTGAATACGTTGACTATAATACATTACTAATAATGTATTGATCTATGGCTCTCATGTATTACTTAATCTACTTTTGTGTACAATGACGGAAGTTAAATTCCTTCTCATTACTGAGAAATGAGTGCACATGTATGTATGAGCATTACGTAAATATCATTAAATCATCAAACTCTAATAGGTAAGTCGTGTTGACTGATTATTCACGCCAGGAGTATAATAATGATTTAAAATTATTGGTTAACCTAAATGAATTCGTGTTGTGTCTTTATTCACGCTAAATACTAATACAATAAATTACCGGGAGGGAAGTAATTTTGTTCTCTACAATTTATTTCTCACGACTTATCATCGAATCCATAGGCGTAACATATGTTATTACTCACCTTTTGGTAAGAACAACTAATGAATATCGGGATGAATAATTAAATAGGCAATATGTACACTTTCCCATAATTTAGTTCGAACGAATTATGTAATTTGATACAAAATGTCCGTCCACCGCATCCGCAAATCGAAGCTGTTGGAGGCCGACGGAAGGGTGAGCGCGGGCCCCGCGGCGAACAATGCGCGAGCAGCGGGGAGCAGGTTGCCGAGGCGCGTCGTCGCATGGCGAGGGGGGGGGCGCTCGGCGCGTCGCATGAGCTGTCGCCGCGACCCAGTGACCCTATCGCCCGCACGCAAAGGCTCACGGGCGGCGGCGTGGGCGGGCGGGTTC